AAATCTAGTTGAGTAAAAATTTGAAGGCATGAAAGGGAAAAAAAGTTTCTTAATAAACTACTTGTTCAGATACAGAATTGTGATATGGTATGTGTGGTCGTTACATAATCTGGTGTCAATTTGGGACTTGAGAGGATTAAGAGTGAAGGAGTGCAGTCTAGTCTGTCAATCGGCTCATAGCCAATGAGGCCTCTGTGTAGGCATGCCCTTCTGAGAATTCTGGGAAATCTGGTATTTCCTCTTGGAGGCAGTAGACAGACTCTCTCTCTCAGTTCACTCCCTGGGAGATTTTGGAGCTAACAAGACACATAGAACTACCCTAGTCCCCTAAGCTGGAGAAGCCACATGGACCTATCCTGATGCAACCAGGCATCTAGAGCTAACGATGCCATGTAGAGACCCCTGCCAGTGCTGAGATGCTTACAACGCCACTGGATCCAAAGATTTTCTACTCACTGGCCTGTGATCTTCCTGCATTTGGCATCATTGCATGTGTTTCATGAGTCTGGAGGGGACTTTATAGAGTGGTATCAGACATATGGGCGAATATCGGACTTATGGGCTTGGACTGTACTGGATTGGGATGCTTCCTTAATGTACAATTACCCTTTATATAAAACTCTCTTGTATACAGATATGAGTTTCTATGTATCTGTTTCTCTAGTCTACCCAGACTTGCACAGTAAGCAAGTTCAGTGTGATGGAGTATCTGGACATGGAAATGAACAATGAAGAAGAGGTTGTAAATGGCCATATTGTGAAGAGTCTGAGACTCTACTAAAAATAATTATTTAGACATCATTCTCCAGAATTAGATAGTCCAAGGTGGTTTTCAAGAAGAGGCACAATAACCTGCAATAGAGAGAGATACTGAGGCTAGAAAAACTATCAGAAAGCTGTCTTGCATTTGCGAGAAAGAAATTGTAAGGTATTGGTCAAAGACTATAGGGTCACTATGAGTCAAAAAACTCAGTAGCAATATAGTCTAAGATAAATGCATATAGTCTAATATAAATGGCAAGACAAGCTGACATTCTGGGTACTAAACTCCCTACTTGACTCTTTTCATGCATTAGTTCATTGAATGCGCATAAAAACAACATGAGAAAAATCTAACTCGTAATATGATAGATGAGCTAAACAGGCATGCAAAGTCAGGTTGCATGCCCTACTCACACAGCTAACTACAAGTCATGGTGCCAGAGGATGTTTGACCCAGATCCTATGATGGCCACGAGGCTTCACTAGGAGGCAGTAATGTAGAGGAAGATTCCATCACAGACTGGGCCTTTGCTTATGGCTGGCATGTTTCTTCCCAGATATGGCACTCCTCTGATGCTCGTTTCCCCTTCATGATTCTCGCTGTTTCCATCACTGGCTCTCTTAACTGTGAATTAGATTCGGCTCTTTCTTTTCTAAACATGTGTTCCTTTGGAGTTTGTTTTCCTAATGGCTTCCTCTGTCACTCTTTATTCTGATCTGACCCCTCTGTCTCTTATTTTCAGTTCCAGTTTCTTGATCACACTCCTAAAGACCATTTCCACCAGTGGTTACACGTCGTGCTGCTGTCTGCATGGCCAGCAGTTAAAATCCACTCATAACTTCTTGGGTGAAAGACTAGGCTTTCTACTCCTAGTAGAAAGTCACAGTCTCAGAAACACACAGGGGTCACTCTGAGTCAGCACTGACTCGGTGGCATAATGGCTACTTGATGTGCTGCTAACTGCAGGTGGGGCTTTCTACTCCCATAAAGAGCTACGGCGTCAGAAACTCACGGGGGCAGTCTTATCCTGTCCTATATGGTCGCTATGAGTTAGCATCAACTTGATAGCAGTGAGTTTTGAGTTGATCTTAGCATTACAGGAGCCCTGATGGCATAGTGGTTATGAGTTGGGCTGTTAACGGCAAGGTCAGCAGTTCAAAACCACTAGCCACTCTGAAGGAGAGAGGGCTTTCTACTCCCTTAAAGAGTTTACAGTCTCAGAAACCCCCAGGGGCAGTCCTACCCAGCCCTGTAAGGGTGGTATGAGTTGGCATCTGACTTGATGGCAGTGAGTGGGTGATCCTCTCATACCTAAAACCTATGACTGGAATCAAACCTATCTTTTACTTCAGATTCACAAGATGCTCCTACTAAGAGTAAAACATTTCCCATGCTGTAGAATGTTTGAACCTCAAATTTCTTCACCTTTCATACCTTATTAGGCAATTCTTTAGCATTGTCTCTTAGATCCACCTCTTCCCCTTTATAACCTTTGCTCCTATCCTAGGACTAGTTTATCCTTCATTGCGGAGTCCTTATGGCATGGTGGGTTGCACATTGGGCTGTTAACCATAAAGTCAGCAGTTTGAAACCTCCCAATGCTCTCAGGGAGAAACAAGAGGCTTCCTACAGAGTCTCAGAAACCTGTGGGAGCAGTTCTACCCATCTGCCCTAAAGGGTCATTATGATTTGGAACTGATTTGATAGCAGTGAGGTTTTGTTTTGTTTTTTAAAAATACCCTTCATTTTTTTTCCTGACTGGTTCCTCACATGCAATTTCCCTTATACTATCCAGCCTATAAACTAATGCCAGAGTAAACTCTTATTTAGAATTCTTGTTTTAGTGAAAAACTTCTGATGACTGGTTCTCTATTACCTAATAAATCATATCTACCAAATCAATTATAACCTGTCCTCTCTCTCAGTTTGATGGCCCTGCATTGCCTGATTTCACTTGCTGTATCAAATTCCCACTCTTCTGAAAACAGTCTACTATCTGGTCCATTCCATGATCTTGTTACTATCCAACAACTATCCTCTAACAGCCTGTGTGTGTACATATATGAATGCACTATGCCCATTTTCACCTAAGCTATTACTATTTCCCTGGTCCAGAATGTTCCTCTGTTTTCCCCCAATCTTAACATCCCAAGTGATTCTTTTCCCAGGGTTTTAAGATGCAGTCGACTGTCCATGTTACACCTTCTCTTGTGCTAATCACCACTACAACAGAAATACCTGCATGTGCAGTCTCCAAATGTGGGTGTTAAACAAAGCGCACTTTACTACTTTAGTATCTAAAATGGTTCTATTTACTCATCTAGTTATACAGCTAATTTTCCCAACAGGATAATAAGCTCTATTCAGCTTAAAATTATGTCTTCTACTTTTTATATTCATAAGGTCAATGGTACTATGCAATAATTCCTATTGTCGGTTGAAACTATAAACATGTGCATTTTTCTGTACTGTGCATATATCCCTGTGGGCTCGGGAGTTTATTTGAATAATAATACAATGTAGTTATGATTCTCTCACTTTGAAGAGTCGTTTCCTTTCTAGAATTGAAAATGCAAATATTCACAAGTGTTTAAGACATTCAGCTCTGCAGATCTAAACTATACTACAGTTCTCCCTTTTAGGGTCACAGTTTTCATTTTTCTGGGGAAAAAGAAAAGCCCTGAAGGCTCCCAGGTTGAAATTGAACAGGACACCCTTGGGAAGGGAGAGGGTCAGGGGTCGTCCTCAAACAGACAAAAAACAATGGAGACAATTGTGCCTGAAGATGGTTTTTTTTTTTTCACTCGACAGTGTGTTGACAGTTTCCTTCCTCTGGGGTCATTGTTGTCTGCCAAATGATCTGTGACAGCAAATTGATCACAAGCTTTCTCAGGCAGGAGATATAAGGCAGCCTTTCATTTTGTTACCTCTGTTGCTCAATGCCGAAACATTTTGTTAGCAACTTAATGTTAGTTTTGTATATCATTTAGAAGTATAGAGCACCACATGCAGTTCTGGAAGCAATAATTGTGATGATTAATTTATCTTCACCAAGTTTCAGAGTTTGCTTCAGTGTAGTAAAGGTAGTAACGCACTTGGAGAGAAAAAAAAGATTGGTTTCAAACTTAGATGTCGGTCATTGTGGTTTCACTAAATGAATACATGAACACATTTTGATAAAGCCCCTAGTAGTTTGAAAATGGAGTCAAATATTTACTTTCCAGTTCCCAGGATCTACCTGTGAAGTTCTAAGCTACTTTAGGTGGAAAGTGGCATCTAGTTAAACTGCTAATTGTTGGGAACCTATGCACTGAAGAACTTTTTATAGAAGTTTTTGTAGATACAGAATTTTTGCTTGGGGTGATGGAAAACAAGAACCAGGTTGTGGTGTGAGTTGATTGCGAATGTAATGCAGGCTACTCAATTGTACACGTCAGGATGTTAGCAAGGAAAATGTCGTTATTCCCACAATAAAACATTTTGGGGCTTGTGTGAAAAATGTTTGGAAATGCAGTGACTTGCTTCCCTTTTAGTTTCTGTTGCACCCCTCAGCAGTCTTTACTGTCCCATTAGGACCTAGTGACAATTAGCACAGGGGGAAAAACAAGCAAAACTGTAGGCAGGAAAACCATATCTTAAGGCAAATAAGCCGTATCTTAGCTCCTTTTCCAAGCATACCACCCCCTTTTGTTTTAGTTTCCTCATAGTGGGTGAGTTATTTACCTGGGCGTATGATATGTGAAAATCCCTATTAGAAAGGTGTTTACTCCCTCCTTTGAAAGCGACCACGTTCTGGTTCATATTTAACCAATCTCAATTCTAGTGCTTTTGTCTCTCTTTATAATGAGAAGGAAATAAGGGTATTTTAATATAATCTGGTCTAGCTATTCAAGTTGGTTTTTTTTAATAGAATGAGTTATATTACAGATATGATGCTTTTCCTAAAGTTATTTTTATAATGTCAATCATGAAAGATAGATATTTAAAACCTATGTATTTCTATCTATAATATACCATTTGGGATACACATTTACATTTGTTATCAAAAATGATTTGGCTGGTGTTGTTGTGATTTGATTTTCTATGAAATGAATATGTTCGCTATACTATAAAGTTTGTAAATAAGTCTAACATCTTCTGACAAGTTATTGCTCTCTGTACAGTCCAGTGTGACCAAGTAATCTTGAAAAGCAAATTTGCAAACTGTTGACGGTCTGCTTTTTATTTATATTTGTAGATCAGTTAAAGCTGTTCCATTTAGCGAGTACCTCGAGACCTGGTCTGCAATTGGCACCTCAAGAGCCACAGAGAGTTCCCGAAACCCATGTAAGGGGATCCAGCCTTGGCCTCTGTCCTTTTAGCATACCCAACTCTCTTAGTTCTTCTCGGCATGTTTTGCTTTCAAGGATTAGTTGACACAGTTGCAATGTGAGGATGATCAATGTTTCTGTTGGTTCGATATACTTATTCATTCAACACGTATTCATTTAGTTCCTTTTTGTGTAGAGCCCCAGCTGAAGTCTGATTAAAAGCTAAAAGGAAAGATAGGCAGTCCAAGGAATAAAAGACCAAGCTCTCAATCATAAAAAGTTTCTTTTCTCCCTTCACCTTAGACAGTAGGCGGAAACTCTTTAATTCTGAGCACAATTATCATTCAAGTCAGAGAAAGCATTAAGGGAAGCGACAACAAGAGAACATCTGAACGTAGGTTGGGCTCTTCACGTATATCAGCCTAAGATAAAAAACATCTGTTCCCTTCATACCAACGCCCATTTTCATCGAGTAAATTCTGACTCAGGGGAACTCCAGGTACTACAGGGTCACACTGCCTCATAGGGTTTCCTTGGCTGTAATCTTTATGGAACCAACCGGACTGGGCTTTCTCCCATGAAGTCATTGGTTGACTTGATCACAAACCACTTGTATACACACACACACACACACACACACACACACACACACACACACACACGGTGTAATACATATGTATGTATGAATACTTACTCAAGTCCAACTCCCGGTGACTGGGCGTTGCTTAGTGAGTTGAGGACAGATGGCTTGAGCACCTACTGTGTGCTGCACAGGAAAGCTCAAATGAATCCCAAGAGGGCAGTAGCCATTGACTGCACAAGCATGGTGTTGACAGGCATTGGCAGACTCTAGGAAATGATGCGGAGTCAAATCCCACCAAAAAAACAAACAGATGGTTACAGGATGGGACTGAAAATAATAGTAATGAAAGCATCTGCCAATTTGGGAAAGAATGTCATGTAGTAAAGAGTAATTAAGTTCATCCTCAAAAGAATTTAACCCCCAAATGTTTCACTTTTGTGTTCCTACATCTGTTACTAGCCTAGTCCACAGTTCACCCTTCTCTGTGAAGGCAGTAGCTGATAATGGTTATCTCCAGTCCAGAAGACTTTCCAAGACCTCGATTCAAGCACTTGGTGTCAGATTTCATAATCACCCAGCCTCTTCTTCCCACAGGGGATTGTTATAAGAATGTTCCAAGGGCTTTCTTTCAATAATAACCAGCACTTAATTGTTAAAAATTAAACGTAAACTTTCCATGTGCTGCTGGCCATTTTGTCTCTGACTAGTTCAGTTGGAAGAGCTCCAGTGCTATCTTTTTTTAACAGCCTAATTTCCTGGCAATAATAAAGATGAAGCTCTTAGATTATAGAACATTTTTTCCAGCAACTCATAATAAAAGAGAAACCTCTAATAACTTCATTTTACAGTTATGAAATATTATCACTAAAATATTATTAAACTCATGTGCATACTTTTAGAGCTTTGTCTTTTTGTGAATAGTGCTAAGTCCTTATATTTTTATTTTTGGTATTAAGTGTTTTCCATATCCTTGTGCCTGCAAATCTACATATAACCATTGGTGCTAGAATAATAATTTTATTCTGGTATGATTCAATTTTCAGAGTTGCTCACATGTACTACATTTGCAAGTCTTTTTAATCTATAATGCTTTTACTCAAACAATATTTATTAAGAACCTCATTTGTTTCATTAAAACTAGTATCTCAGTGAGCTAGGAATTATTATTTTACCCTGTTTTACAGATGAGAAAACTGAGACCAACAGAAGCTAAGTAATTTCCCAAAGCCCACCCATGTGAGAGAGACCATCATCATATACTGGCACTCCCTGGCAAACTCACTGCCACTGTGTGGACTCTGACTCATAACGACCCTTTAGGACAAAGTAGAACTGTCCCGGTGGGCGATCAAGATTGTGAATCTTTATAGGAGGAGAAAGCCTCATGTTTCTCCTACAGAGTTGCAGGTGGTTTTGAACTACTGGCCTCGTGGCCAGCAGCCCACTACATAACCCATTATACCACCAGAGCTTCTTTCATGTACTGGTGAAGAGTATACATTCTGGAATCAGATAGACTGAGTTTAATCCAGAGCTACCATTTACTACCTGTGTGGTCTTGAATATGTTTCTTAACCTTTCTGTGTTAGTTTCCTCATTGGTCAAATGATGAGAATCACAGTACATATTCAAACACTTGAAGCACTTACCATCGGGGTTGGCACATCGTGCATGTTCAATGAGAGTGGCTACTATGAATTAGTAGTGCAGGTAGGCAGGGGCATCTGAACTTGAACTAAAATCTTCTAATTATGCATTTATTTCTCTTTGCATCAAACCGTTCTCCCCCAGCAATGCTGTTGTTAGGTGTCATCAAAGTGACCTGACTCGTAGTGACCCTGTGTACACAGAACGAAGGATCACTTGGTCTTGCACCATCCTCAAAATTGTTCTTATGTTTGAGCCCATTGTTGGGCCACTGTGTCCATCCATTTCCTTGATGGTCTTACTCTTTTCCACCAATCCTCTATTTGACCAAGCTTAGTGTCCTTCTCCAGAGACTAGTCTCTCCTGAGAACATGTCCAAAGTATCCTAGACAAAGTCTCACCATCATTTCTTCTAAAGAGCATTCGGACTGAACTTCCAACAAAGTTTTGCTTGTTCTTCTGGCAGTCCATTATACTTTTAATATTCTTTGCCAACGCCATAATTAAAATGCATCAGTTCTTCTCTAGTCTTCCTTATTCAATGTCTAAGGAACCTTATTCAGTGCATGTGAACTAGACCAAAACAAACTCACTGCCATCAAGTCAGTTCTGAGGCTTGGTGTATTAGTCTGGGTACTTTAGAGAAACAAATCCACAGCGACTCATGTATAAGAGAGTTTTATGTAAAGAAAATGTGCATCACGAAAACATCCCAACCCAACACTGCCCAAGCCCACAAGTCCAACATTAACCCATTAACCCAACACCAGTCCACAAAGTCCTCCACCTCACAAAACAGAGGCAATGATGCCGACTGCAAGAGGAAAGCTGAGTCCATGAACGTGTAAGCATCTCAGCACTGGCAAGGGTCTCCACACGGCTGTTCCAGCACCCAGGGCTGCATCGGGATAGAACCATGCGGCTTCTCCTTGGAGATGTCTTGTAGGAAGTCAATCTTGCAAGCTGAAGCAGGGAACTGCTAAGGCAGCTGCACCCGATACAACCATCACAAAACAAGAGACCCGAGAACTAGAAAGGCGAGGCTCACCACCCATTTATCCCTCCGCCTTTCAACCAGCACCACATGTGATTATCGGCCAGGCTGGCACAATTAACTAACTCACTTGGTGTCGCGATGATAAGCACCTGATGCAATTGCAAATAGCATGGCCCTAACTTGAGCCAGGGACACCTCAATCCTCAAATTGATAGTTTTGCTCTTCACTACTATATAAAGGCCTTTTGCAGCCAATTTACCCCATGCAGTTCATTGTATGATTTTATTTTCTTTTACATTGTGTGATTTCTTGACTGCTACTTCCATGAGCATTGATCATAGATCCAAGCAATATGATACAAAATTGTTCTCCCTAACATAAATTTGAAATTCCGCCTTGAAGTGCTTGCAGTCTATTCATTAATAGTTATAATGATTAGTTCAGAAAACATGTAGTCTAGCCCATCATCTGAGGAAATCCATCATGATAGGATGGCACATGGAAGGTCTGACAGAGAACAACTCAATACACATGGTTGTGGGCAACGGCCACTTAATGACCGAATGTGATCCCCAGAAGGAAATGTTTATGTTGGAGGAAAAGAATCCCTTCAAGCCAGTGTGCTCTGTGATGCGGAGCAGAGGCTTCTTGATGCTTGTTTGCTGTCATCCGGACAGACCAGGCAGCCTGAGCACTGTGGGGATGGTTGCTTTCCCTCTAGGATACCGGCACTGGTCACTCGTTGAGTCTTGAAGCAACTGTGAAGTCAAGAGTCTTTGAAATGCCTTTGGAGGCACAAGGCTATAGCATCTCATTCTAATGCAACCTTTCTCAATCTTGGCTATGCATTAGAACCACCCGAGGAGCTTGTAAAAATTCCAGTGTGGAGGGCACACCCCAAGACCAATTGCTTCAGAATCTCCAGGAGTAGGACCAGGCAATAGTCGGGTTTTTTTGTTTTTGTTTTTTAAAGCTCCCTGGGTGATTATAATATACAGCCAAGATTTAGAACCACTGTGGTAGTGGGGGAATAGCATGATGTCAGAAGTTACAAACTCCTTAGCCCTGAACTAGGTTGGCCACGTACTGTTAAGTAAATTTTAGACTGGTTATTTAACTCTTTGGATCTCAATTTGCATTCTGCCTTGCTTTCAACTCTTCTAGAATTCATATGACATAGTACGTGAGAAAATGAAACATGATAAGGCAAGTTGGCATTATTACATTATTTCAGATGGTTCAGTCCCAGAAAAATATTTAAAATTTTCAGATAAACCTATGCAGAGTTGAGTAAAAGGTATGCCATAGAAAACAAAGCAAAATGGAAGCAGGACCCTGTAATTCTTAGGGGAAAACAAGACAAAACACAAAAAAGTGCCAAAACAACGATATTGTGGAGGCAATAGAGGATGCTTTTCAACTGCAGATTACAACCGGGATACAAAGGCAAGACATGGTTTTGATTGTTAGTTCTTCCAACCTATGGTAACCTTATGTGTAACATAAAAAACAAACGCAAAAATCCACATTGCCTGTCCGGTGCTATCTTCAGGATCCTTGGAATGTTTGAGCCCATTAATTTATAAACAAGTGTCATTGTGAAAGAAAAAACACTCCAAGTTGCAATCTACTTATCTTCAATAATATCCAATATTACACAGTTTTAATGTGTAATTAAATACATTTGGAAAGTTTTTGAGCAATGTCCTGTGAGCTGACCTACCTTGCCACCTACATTAAACAAGAAATGAATTATTTTCAACTTTGAACTATTATCAAAGAATGTATGGATAGCTTGATTTTTTTCTAATTTTCTCATTTCAGTGCTTCATGATTTAAATTTTATAACAATGTACTATAAATGGCTGAGAATGGATCTAAGACATCCTAAAGAATGGCGTTTTAAGTAAGTAACTTGAAGTGTCTTGAATCCCATTAAGGTAAAGTATCTATTGTTCCATTTCTTCTAACAGAACCATAAGAGCAAAGAAGATCACTTTTCTAATCATAGTGACAACAATAAGCAATAGTTCTTCCTTTTGTAGGAACCCAGGTGGGAAATGTCTTTGGTACCTATTGGCTACAAGGGAGAGAGATAGGACCTGAGCCACCACGTAAGAACCCCCACAATACTCTTCTCATTAATTCTCCTGCTCAAACCCCCATTATCCTTATCAACATACACATTACCAAACCAAAACCAAACGGAAGGCCGCCACATCAATTCTGACTCAACGAGATCCTTTGTAGGGCTTTGAGGTTGTAGATCTTTATGGGAGTAGATAGCCTCATTTCCTTCTGCAGAGCAGCTTGTGAGCTTGAACCACAGACCTTGGGATTAGTACTCCAGTGCTTACCCCTGGCCCCACAGCGCCATAAGAACCCTTTATATATACCTCAGAAATAATAAAAAACACATATGAACTACTTATATATCACCAATTAGTTTCTTAGCCTTCTTCTTTTCCCCTCTTCCACACACTTCTCAGAAAGGAAGTATTTGGAAACAGATCACTAGGTGTGTCTTCTGAGATGCACCTGAGTGGGTTTGAACTTGAGCCAATGTTTTGGTTAGAGTAAATTGCTTACCCAATGAATGCACTACTTAAATCTAGAAGAACTAAAGATGCTATTGTTATTGTACCTGATTTTTAACTCCTCGGCTGACTATTAGCAAAGTGAACCCCTTCTCAGCTGGAATTACAAATGGATGTAAACAATGCTCTGGATTTTGAATTGGGAGACCTAGGTGCAAACATCTCATGTGTTCTGCTGTTACATCCCAAAATGGGGGTTCAAGTGCACCCAGAAGTGCCTCAAAAGAAAATCGGGAATTTCTACTTGAAAAATACCAGTAATGGAAACTCCTACCATGTACAGTTCCACTTTGACAGAGCTGGGTCAATGTCAGCATGAAGTCAGAATCAACTTCACAGCAACTTTTTCTTCTTTTTAAAGAAGATCAAGATTCGAAGACATACTTTCAACCCTTCAACATCCTGGTTCATACTGTTTTGTTCAGCTGGATTTTCTTTTCCAATTTATTTCTGCAACAATTTTCCTTCAGGCCAAGCTGGGGAAACGTTTTTCCTCCTCCTCCTTTTGTTTATCAGCTCCTTTTCTGCCTTCAGAATGGATTATAGGCAGTAGAATATGTTTTACCCAGCAGAGTTTGAAGGAGTACAGATTTTTTTGAAGGCGTGTTTTAGGTTTCATTTAAGATTTGCAGAAACCTACTTGGAATCTAAGGTTAATTTTGCTTTGACTTGACTCCCTTTTTTATTTCCTTTGACAGAACGGCTTTGTTTTATTTGTTTGATCATAGATTCGTTACGTATTGCCAGCTTCCCACAGAACCCCCAAATTTACAGCAAGCCTAACCGTGTCATTTCCAACTTATCCATTCACTTCCACACAGCTGAAATGATTGCGAGCTGTTTGAGTGCCGGGACATTTTTTCACATCCATTATTTTGAAGTTACAGGTCAGATTATCACGTGCTTGGTGACCCTGTCAGAATAAAGCTCTCACACCTTATGCCATCTGGTGGTTGATGAAATACTTGCTGCTTTTAAATTGGGAGTTGGATAGTCAAAAAAGAGTTTTTGATAACCTATATAGATAACGTTTTTTTAAGAGACATAGTTATCTGCATTTTATTGGATTATACATAATTGAGAATGCAAAATATGCATTGGTATAATAAAAGGCACAAGAATGGTGAATTTCAGCCTATTTTCTTATAATTATTAAAAGTCTTATGCTCATCAAAATACATATCGCTCCCTAGAGAAACAAACCCAGTATTATAATGACATGCAAAAGGTCCTGGAGTTAGAAACCAACAGAGACGAATATAGCAGCATTTCTCAAGCTGTAAGAACTGAAGGGAAAATGCAGTCTTCTGTTGCCTTATCTACTCTTGAGTGACAGACACAGGAAACATCAGAAGCAGATAGAAGAACTACCTAGAGTCTCTAAGCCACGAAGAATTGGTCAGCATTCTACCATTTTAACAAGTTGCACATAATCAAGAACCAATGGTACTTAAGAAAGCAATCCAAGCTGCTTTTAAAGTACTGGTGAAAAACAAGCCTGCCAGAGTTGGGGGATACCAATTACGATGTCTTAGTGAATGAGCTCAGCACTGGAAATGCTCACTCATCTACATTAAGAAGTTTAGAAGACAGCTATCTGCCCAATCCCGTGGACATGATCCATCTTGGTACCCATTTACTGACCAAAGTCATTAATAGCACACACAAGATAGTTGAAAATGGTTGCAGCAGGAAACTACCTGAATTTCAAGCTGGATTCAGAAGAGGGCAATGTCTTAGGCTGAGGTCCCTAGAGATGTAAAACCAGTGACACATAGATATTTATAGATAAACATTTATATCAAGAAAATAGTTCACATGGTTGTAGACGTGGGCAGGTTCCCAGTCTGTGGGTGCAATGTTAAGCTAGAGAGCTCTCCTGACTCATGTAGCTTCGGGGACTGACAAATCTAAGATGGGCGGGAAAACGACAGAGTCAGCTGGTCAGGCTTGTGCCTAGAGAGGTGAATGAGTCCCAGGTTGACAGATCACACGACTGGCTGCTAATGTCTCCCAGAACTGGCAGGCAATATGGTGGATTTTGGCATAAGAATCAGAAGTCAATGAGCCTGATTCAGAATCCAGATCCAAGAAAAAGCCAACAGACTTCCCCACAATGTCCCCTTAGTTAGGAGTGGGGCCACATCCAAAAGGAAACTTCCTGTCAATTATATCAAGGTTTTGACCTAAATCAGAGTGTTGCATTTTACCCTAATCCTATCCCATCATAGAAGCTTACAACTGATTGTGATCACATTGTTTTCGGTCAGGTCATGAGAGGTTATGAGGTATTAACCTGCCAGTCTTATCCAAGTTGACACAAAATCATAACTATGACAGCCATGGGATGAAGGATACCCTTGTTGATATCAGATGTCACTTAGCTGAAAGCTCAGCATACCAGAAGATGTTTGCTTATGCTTTATTGACTATGCCAAGGCATTTGACTGTGTGGATCACAACCAACATTGTAAAGAATAGAAAATTCAGAGTAATTGTCCTCATACAGAATCTATATAGAGACCAAGAAGCAGAAAGGTGTGTGTCCAGCTTGTATCCTTGCACCAAATCTATTCAATCTATATGCTAGTAAACAATCTGAGATGCTGGATTATATGAAGAAGAATGTGGCATCGAGATTGCAGGAAGCCCTGCGTATTAGCAGCCTACAATCTGCAGATGGCACAACCTCGCTTGCTGAAACCAGAAGACTTGCAGCACGTGTGACCAAGACGATGTCCACCTGTATCACACCTCCACATAAAAGGCTAAAACTCCGCACAGCTGAACCAACAGGCAGCCTCATGACAAGTGCAGAAAACACGGCTGTTATCAAGGCGCTTGTTTTACTTGGATTCATAATCAACACACATGGAAAGAGCAGTCGGCAAATGGCATATTACATTGAGCAAATATGCTGCAAAAGACCTCTTTAAAGTGTTCAAAAGCAAAGCGGTTACCTCGAACACTAAGGTGTGCCTGACCTCATCCAGGCTATTTTTCTATAGCCTTTCATGTAGGTGAAAGTCCAACAATGACTGAAAGAAGCACTGATACCGTTACATGACGGTGCTGGTGAAGGATACTGAAAGTACTACGGCCTGTCAGAAGAATGAGTCAGTCTGTGTTGGGAAAACACAGCCAGAATGTCCCTTGGAAGCCAGGAGGGTGAGGCCTTGTCTCACGTACTTTGGACGTGTACTCAAGAGGGACCAGTCCCTAAAAGAGATACCATGCTTGGTAAAGTAGAGGTCAGGGAAAAAAAGAGGAAGATCCTGAGGCGATGGGTTGGTGCTGGCTACCTCAGTGAGCATAAAGATAGCAATAATTGTGAGGATGGCACGGGACTGGGCAGTGTTTCGATGTGTTCTACATATAGTTGACACGAGCCAGAACTGACTTGGCAGCACTTAACAACCTGCGGAGAGACAGTGCTACATGTGAACTGTGTCAGACAGTTTCTGACACGGGCTGCTGGCCCTGCTTGCTCTACGGTGGCCCTAGTTCAGTTCTCGGATGGAAAAGCCTTTCTGTGAAGGCAGGCAGGAGAAAAAACATGGGCTTCAGAATCAGCCCGATGTTGGAGAAATGACTGCGTGCTCTAAGTTCGGATCCACATCTTTTCATTGTAAATAATATCACGTACCTTTTTACGTTATTGTAAGACTTGAACGAGCTCATATACAGAAATAATCAGATAGTGCTGACAGATGGATATTTAATAAATATTGATTCCTGAGGCAAAGGGAAGACAAAAGCCCCTACCTCCTAGCTTTCAGAAAGGAAACAATTGTCTGTCAGTAACATGTAAAAACTATAAAATGTTCTCAGGTTGCAAATCAGGAATGCTTGTCACGCACATGTTTGTTTTAGCCCTGTGTGTCTGTGTGTCTTTTCCCTTCTCCGCTGTGCCTTCATCCTCGCCCGGGTTTCACAGGAGGACACGACAGACAGTCCAGCTCAAATGTTGACACGCAGGCATCTTGAGCTACTCTATGTTTTTCTTCTGTAGCACCATGTTCACGTCTTCTTAGTATGCATGATATGGAAATTTCTGTTCATGGAGAATTACCCAGGCAGGAGATACTATGATAGCTCCACATTCACTGTACTTCATGTTGGTGCCTAGCAAATAGTAGGCACTCACGAAATGTGTGTTGAATGATGCATACTTCCCCATTTAAGATTAAGATTAAATGTGAAGGTCGTTAATTTTAGGGAAAAGAAATTAAAATTTAGGTATTGATTTCTATTCAGGTCCATTTTGATGTAGGGATTATGATTCTATTTGGGGTTCTAAGGGTGGAGT